CTTGGAGTTGAATCAAGGTGACTGTTGGCCTGCTGTGTTCATCCAGCTCTACACCTTGTTGTCTAGCAAGATAGGATGTTTGTTTCAGTTACTCACTAGGTTATAACGATTTAAAAACAGTTAAATCTCTTCATTTGAGGCTTCAGATTTATAAACTGATTTGTTTCAGTTATATAAGTTTTTAGTTTCCTGCACAAATGGGCAAATTCACTCATTTTAAACTAGAATACGTTTCAGTACTCCTGAATTTCATGGTCTTGTCCATGTATTTTGTTTGAACAAATATTTGAAACAGTTGCATGAAGACTGGAAATAACTGATAATGAAGGAAAATGGTCTTGAATTTTTTTTTTATTAAAGATGCAACATGGATGTGATCAGGGAGAAGGCTGACTGGGTGGGGAAGGAATGCATTTGAGGGAAGGAGTTTTGAAGCTTACTTCAACAAGGATCAAAGACATTCAGGTTACTTTCCACTTATCCCTCCCCTCCTTTTCTGATCCTTTTGAGAATTTTTTTGTATTCACTCACGGAACATGGATGTTGCTAGCTAGGAGCGTTTCTTGCCTGTACCTAGTTACCTTTTGAGATGGTGGTGAACTGCCTTCTTGAACCGCTACAATCCACGTGCTGTCAGTAGGCCTGCAATAGCCTTAGAAAGGGAATTGCAGGATTTTGACCCAGTAACAGTGAATGAACAACGATATATTTCCAAGTTAAGATGGTGAGTGGCTTGGAGGGCAACTTGTAGGTGATGGTGTTCCCCCATGCATCTGCTGTCCTTGTCCTTCTAGATGGAATTGATTGCAGTTTTGGAAGGTACTTCCTAGGGGTTTTTGGTGAATTTCTGCAATGCATCATATAGTACACGCTGCTGCTCTGAGCATTGATGGTGGAGGGAGTAGATGCTTGTTGATGTGCTTATCAAGTGGACTGCTTTTTCCTGGATGGTGTCAAATGTCTTGAGTGTTGTTGGAGCTGCACTCATCAAGGCAAGTGGGAGTATTCCACCAGACTCTTAACTTGTGTCTTGTAGGTAGTGGACAGGGAGTAATGAAGTTAGTTACTCACTGCAGTATTCCTAGCCTATGACCTGCTCTTGTAATCACTGTATTTATACAGCGATTCCAGTTGAGTTTCTGGTCAATAGTAACTCCCAGGATGTTGATAATGGGGATTCTGTGATGTTAATGCTATTGAATGTCTCAGGGTGTTGGATAAATTGTCTTTTATTGGTGATGGTCGTTATCTGGCATTTGTGTGGTGATGGTATTACTTGCCAATTGTTAACCGAGCCTGGATGTTGTCCCGATTTTGTTACATTTGAGCATGTACTGCTTCAGTATATGATGAGTTGCCAACGATGTTGGACATTGTGTAATCATCAGTGAAGATCCTTACCTTGGGCCCCCTCTCAAAATACTATGAGACCCTGAGACAGGTGCAAGGACTAGAAAGTCATGATTAAATGGCAATAAAAATTACTACTGAAATAATTCCCATAAGCCTCGTTTTTTCTCAAAGTGATTAATGCCAAAGGAGATCTGGTCAACTAAAGATCTCTTCTAAGATTTGAAATGCATTCATATGCAACAGTTTTTGTTTTGAATATTTTTCCCTTCCTATGAGTATTTTCTCCCTTCCTAAGTGTAAATCCTTTGCACCCAGGTATTTAAAACAAGTACATGCACCCTAAGTGAAAGAAGAGAAATGAACTGCAAAGAACACTTATTATCTCTGAGAATAATCTAATTTCCTATTGCAAAAATAGTATTGGTAAGTTTTCATTGTTTTGCTCATTCCAAGCAAAGGTTTTTTATATGTAAATATTATCAATATTTTAAGGGTGGAATTTTTGATCCATCATTTAATTCTTTAAGAAGATTGAAATGGGCTATTAATGAACCACTGTGATTGTTGCACTTCAGTGCTTCCATGATTGTGTTAGATGAGAGAAGTACCAAGTATTTATCCAGTCCTAGTAAACAAATGCTAGTATGATATGTAATTCAGAGGGACAACTGCTAGTGCTGTTATTTCTTTTGATTTTGCTGTTATCCTTTGTAGCAGTAGAAGCCAATAAACTGGAAGAAACTCTTGAAGTTAAAAAGTTTCTGAGGTGTATGCTGTAGTTGGTACACAATAAAATGGCTCAAGTGGAAGAATTTTGCATTCAGTGATACAGACTTGCAAAGTGCCTTTTAATGTAGAAAAATTGTCCCAAGATTTCTGACTGGGGAGATTGAGATATCAAACCAAAGAAGGAGATGTTGGGAAAGATGTGAAACACTTAGGTGGATTTTAAGGAGGAGTGATAAAGGAGGTTCAGTGAGGGATTTCCAGAGCCAAGTATGTAGATAGGTGAAGGTGCATCTGTTAGTGGTGATGCAAAGGAATGAATTCATAAGAAGTCAGAGTTGGAAGAGCAAAGAGTTCTGAGGCCTTCAGGCCTCGAGTTATGGTGAAGTGTGAGGACTCAAACAAAGTTTACAATAACGATAAGTATTTCAAATTAAAGATATGGAGGACCGGAAGCCAATGTAGGTAAGTTATGAGTTAACAAGTAATGATGCAAAGTACAAGAGGTTAGCAGAATGTGAAGTTTAGAGCATAAAATGTAAGGTTGATTTAGAAAGGAATGTATCATGCAGTTTAATGGGTTTGTATATAAGATAGACACCATTGGAAGATGCAAGAGCAAAACCTATGGATGCTGAATTTGTAGGACATGTTTGAAAGCAGCAGGGAGTGAAAAAATCTACGTTTTGACAGTTTTATAAGCTGGAAAAGTTGAGAAATGTATTAGGTTTGAAAATTTAATTTAGAGATTTGGTAGAGGTTTTCAAAATCATGAGAGGGCTAAATAGAATAGGTAGAGAGAAGCTGTTCCTGCTTGTAAAAGAAAGAACGGTTGAGAATATAGATTTAAAATGATGTACAAAAGAAGCAAGGATGATGTCAGAAAAAACGTTTACTTTCAGTGAGTAGTCGGGGTTTGGAATGCAGTATCTGGAAATGTAGATGTGGAAGATTTGATTGAGGCATTCAAGATGGCATTGGATGATTATTTGGAATCGAAATAAAATGCAAAGATATGGGGAAAAGGCAGTAGATTGGTACTAGTTAATAGAGCTAGTGCAGGCATAATGGGCCAAGTTGCTTCTTTCTGCACCGCCATACTTCAATGAAACGGAGTAGTGATGGGGCAAAAAAGGAAACAAATATGTGCCTAGAGCAGGTGTGCTGCTGCCCAAACACCACCAAGAGCTAGAAATGGAAACAATCAGTACAGAGATTGGAATCTGAAATTGTTGAATTTTGCATGGTTTCCAGAAGACTGTAAAGTATAACCCTATACCGATATAATAAGAGATTTGTTATCAGTATTAATGTTTTTGTTTAATTGAGGACATTGCCATATCCCATTATAAGCCTGGCATAGGCTTGTGACTTTAATGAGGTAGCTGCTAGGGATAGAAAGTCATGAGACAGAGACGGAACTTTTTC